GCCCCATGCCCTATACCTCTATTCTGCCTCTGCTTCTTTGTCTTCCTTCAAGAAGCAGCTTAAATGCCACTTTATGCAGGAGGCTGCTCCTAGTTTTCCCAGCTATTAATGCCTTTCCTTTACGTGTTACATTCATATATTTATGTGTGTGTGTGTGTGTGTACATGCCTTGTATGAACCTAGATATTTATGTGCTATCTTCCCATATTAAAATTTATACTCCTTGAAAGCGGGAATTGGGTTGTTTTGTTTTGTTTTGTTTTTGCCTTTCTTTGCATCCCCAGCACTTAGCATAGTGCCTAACATATTGGGCACTTAAGAATGACTTGCTTGTTTACTAACAACTTCTAGGTAAAATAATTCTTATTCGTTAAAGGAGCTACCAAGTTTATGATATATAAGATATTATGATTTTGTAACGGGACTGGCCAATGAGCCCTGTCTGTGTGAACACACAGTGAAAACACAAGATTGTAGCTTTCAACTTTACCAAAAATGAAAAGAACAAATGTCGTATTCACAGGGCCACATGTCAGCCTTGGAGGGGAGAGGGCAAGAGGCTTCTTCCCTTACAATATTGTCTCTCACTGAAAGCCATCAGGAAAGTCAAACAAATTTTAAAAGTTCCAACCAGTTCAGGAAGATAAGGCTGACAAAGGCCTTTTGAAGTTGCCTCTACTTCTGGTGCCACAACTACAGCCAATCAAAAAGATGATTATTATCCACTACATAGTTGGCAACTGGAACCAGTTACAGAATGTCTGCAATGCTCCAGTCCCTCCAGGAAACTCCCATGAGATGTTGTAATGGCTCTCCAAGAAGCAGACTCCCCAGTCTTTTCTATCAGTAGCACTCTGCACCTGCTCTTGGGACTGGCCCCACTGGCCAATCCCCCATTACAAATTATAATACTAAATTGATTTTGATTATTGGTGTTTATTTATACCTTTATGTTATCTTCAAATATTGTATTATGAACTAATTATCTTAAAATATGATAAAGTATTAATTTTCATTAATTTAAATTCATCTTCCTCCTAAGTTATACTGAATCTAACGAGTCTGCTATATAGAAAAATGGAAGTTTATTTTGGCAGAATTAGAGAGACTGGGATTCTTGGGCAATGCTGAATGGCTTTCCAGATTGGCAGAGTAGGTGGCCCTCTGCCCAGTATTTCTAGGGCATAGGCCTAAAATTCTACCAGAAGGGATTCATTTTCTTGATTTTTAAGACTTTTGAATCTAAAATTTACTCAGGGAGGTATAATTTCATATTCATTCCATATGCTCAGTAGCTGTATTTAGTTAGCACCCTTTCTGGAAATCAGATTGAAGCTTTGTAGGAAAAATAAAAAGGAACAATGTATTGGTTCCTAAGAACTGTGAAGAAAGACTTCTATTGAGTGAATCTTCTACCTTTTGCCGTTTCTCCATTTGACCCTTAGATATCATTTGTATGGGGAAAACTCAAAAATCCATATTTATTACAGGCCTCCAGTTCCTTATTATTGCCTTACATAGTTCAGTGCCATGATATATTGCTGTCACCTCCAATTCTTTATGTTTCAAACAAGCAATTATCTAATTACTTCCTAACTTTCCCTCACAGGTTCCTCTTCCCAGCTAACCCGTTTTTGTCAGCAGCAACATTTTTCTTTTTTGTCTCACTGGCTATCTTGAAGCCATTCTTAACTGTTGACCTTTTCTCTCTTTCTTCACTGCGGTCCTTCCTTCAAAATGTCTGATCTAATCTTTCTTCTCCATTCCTACTAAGACCTAGTATAGGGCCTTATCACATACATTACTATTTCTTGACTATCACCACAGCTTTTCTACAACTAATCTGTTTGGCCCCACTCTCTTCTCTCTTTTTCCTTATCCAGCATTCTACTAATAGATCCTATCTGGTATACAGGTTTATTTCCAACTACTCTATACTATGCACCTTCTGCTTTCCTCAAACTGGTTATTTCATTTTGCTTTACACATTTATCATCCTCCTTTTCAGCCTTAGTTCATGCTATCTTGCCAGTCCTGGATTTTGTCTACCATCTCCACTGCTTTATGTTTTATATTTATGCTTTACTCTTTTATGTTGTCTTTCCCCATTAGTATATAAGTTCTTTGAAGGGCAAAGACTTTCTTTTTGCTTGTATTTTGTATTCCCAGCACTTAGCACATAATATTCAAACATAATAAATGTTTAATAAATGCTCTCATATAAATCCTCTAAAGCAGAGATTCTTAATTTGGGGTCCATGAACTTGATTTTTTAAAAAATATTTTGCTAACTGTATTTCAACATTTTTGGCTTTCATTATAATTCTATGCATTTTTAAATGATTCTGATAAGAGGTCCATGGGCTTCATCTTCACCAGACTGCCAGAGGGACACTGACTTGGAAGGCAGGAAGACTTGAGTTTGAACTCTTCCTCTGACACTTAGCAACGTGACCAACTCACTTAACCTCTATGAGGCTCAGTTTCTTTATCGATAAAATGAAAACAATAACAAAATCATGTACTTATCAGGATTGTTGTGAGAATCAAATGACATCATGTGACAAACACTTTGCACTAAGCCTTAAAATGCTACATAAATGTCATCTGTAATTCTGAGAATACTGCTACCCAACTTTCAGGCTTAACTTGTTTCACCTCTTCCATGAAGTCTTCCTTGTTATTTCAGTCTTTTTGATCCCTCCTTTCTTTGAACTATGGTCAGAACCACAATTCAGTAGTCAGTTATTTTCTAATTTATAGAATCAAAGCTATGGAACTGGACAGAAGCTTAGAAATCACCTAATCCAACTTTCTCATTTTACAGCACCAGAAAGTTTGTGAATACAGCTAGTGGCCAGCAATGGAGCCCGTCTTCTTGCAGTCTCAATCCAGAGATCCTTAATTGTCTCATAGATTGTTTTTATTCTATTATATTTTAAGTTCTTTGAGGTTATATGTCATATGATTTCTCTCATCTCACAGTGTATATAGAAGACATTCAGATATTTAGCTGGTTCACAGTTCTGCTGAGGGCCAGCCACAATCAAGTTTTTAAACCTTTGTTCCTCTGGTTAAGATGAGCATGAAACATACATTTACCTCATCATGAGATTTACTGTTAACTAGCAAATCAAAGCTAAATAGAATATAGTAGGTGATAAGAGATATTAAAATAAGGTGAAATAGAATGGAATTTTCTACTGCTAATACTAGAATAGTATTTACAACTTGATTCATAAAGAAGCAAAAAAACGACCCTACACATATCTAAAGCTTCACTATCAGTTAAGGCTTAAATGCCAGTTTGGGGGCTTTATCTAGGCTCAGGATCTGAACAATTAGTCCCACCCCTCCACTATGGTGCTTCCTTACTTCAGGCCTAGGCTGTATCATCCCATCCATTACCTGGATGGAAAGAGACATTAAAACAAAAACAAAAAGACATACTATGGCCACTGGACAGACATTAAATTGTTCTTCTTATGTAATGTACTGAAGGCCAAATGGATTCATCTTCAGAGTTGATAGAATACTACATTTTAATGGCAGCAAATTTAAATTTAGTTTCTATCTTGTTCTCTGTTAAATTCCTATTCTGATGCCTTTTTCCAATATAGAAGTGATCCAGGTGGTTCTCAAAAGGTCAGCAGGCAAAACACAAGCTCTTCTGGGTAGTTCTCCAGATGGAAAAAAGGTTCTGAGTGTAAGTTGAACTGTGACATTTTTGTTGGTGGGTCTGGAGTCACCCTAGCTAAATTCAGAATTCTGGTCACCAGATGATTATTATTTTTGTAGCCATTCACAGCTCATGAAAACTATACTAAGAAATGGAGGGGCTTCCATCTATGTCATTGGAAGGAGCCCCTACACTAATATAAATATCAATATTTTAAAATATAGCTTTGTATATATTCTTATTTACTCAGTGCCGAGGTATGAATTGTAATGATCCTATCCAACAGAATTGTGGTTGCTTTTGCTTTCATCACAGGAGAACACAGGTTAACAGATGGCATAATAGTGTGTCAATTTGGAAGTGGAAGGAGACAGTCAGCAACTTTTTGACCTCAGTGCCACAACCAAAGTCTAGTGATGGCCACAGGTATCACTGGCAGGCTTAAGGCAATTAGTAAGAGTAAGAGAGAAAGAGTACAGAAGAAAAAGGAAGAAAAAAAGAAAAGCATGTGGCAAGAAATCATAAAATCATGGGGTCATTGATATAGAAGTGGAAGGAATTTTGAGGATTGTCTAACATAAACTCAAAATCACACCCGTAATAAGTGATAGAGCAGAAACTTGAACCCAGGCTCCCTGATTCCAAACTCGGCACTCTTTCTGCTATACTATACCTCTATACAAGTTTTTTAGGTTACCATAAATAAGACAGGTTTTGCATCTTGTTTGACACTGAAGGATAATGCTTTTCACATTTCAAATAATCTCATTCATCTTGACCCTTCCCTTTAAGCCCTGATAAACAGTAAAATCATGTTCTTGCAAGTGTATTTTCCACTTTCCTTATTTTCCATTCAAGGCAGGTTTTTGTTTATGTATAGAAACTATTGGCTGGTATTAAAATGTGGTTAAGATTTTTGCCTGACTCTGCAAATAGTCTCAAAGTAAAAGTTTGAAGTTTTCTTCTCACTGGAATTTTCTAATGTCATTACTTATTTCCCGGTTAATTGAAATTTTCAATGTATTTGTTTAACCTACTAGATTAATGAGATAAAGCTAATCACAGAATCTAGTTTTTAGTTCAAGAGCTTAATTACATGAAAGCCAAATATATATAACCCCCAAACAACCCAAAACACCTACACACAAATACATATTGCGGCTCTCTTTCATGATTTTAGACTTTTAGACTTTGATGACTGAATAGTAGGATGTGACTAACTTCACTGTTCTCTTCTCTGGTCTGACCCCAATAAAATGTAAAAGCTGTGTTCATTTCCTGCAATAAGTAGTCATTTAATTAAAGAACAAATTAACAGGAATCAAAATGTTGCAGCTGTGTTCTGTTAGACGTTATATAAAAAAAGAAAATTATAATACATTAAATCATCTTGTATAACATGAACTTAAGTGTTTACAAACTAATTGTGATAAGAATAAAAATGTCTCATCAACGTAATACTGAATGACAGTGCGTCATACGTCCTTGATGTCAGAGGCCTTGGGATGGTAAAGCCTGTGCATGCACGGCGTCTCCTCTTCCCTGTTACATTGCAGTAAAGTTTGAACAAGGATTCAAGGAGAACAGCAGTTTTCTTCTGGTATTTCTAACTCCAGTCTTTTTCCTCAGTTGATCTTCCCACCCCCACAGGTCACCACTCTTTGGACATCAAAGAGTGAAACACCCTCCAGTGATTCCTCTTGTAGGTAGGTAAGTGTGGCAGAGTTCACCTGTGCAGTCTTGCTTGGCTCACATAAACATCAGGTTATTGTGAGCTGAACTTCGGGGAAGTTCCCTGATGAAAGATCAGTGGTGGTATCAAAAATTGACAAATTCTTCTCAGAAGAAAATCTCTATGGCCTGTGGAATCTAGAGAGGAAAAGCAAAATATTGTTCTATCAGTATTTTGCAATATTTACTCATTCAACAAATACTAAAGTACTACAATGTATAAAGCATAAGGGAGATGGAAAATTTAGATAAGACACAAAGCCTCTGCCCTTGTCGGGGATAAGATACAAGCAGAAATAACTATAATACACACTACTGTATAAGTATATGAAAAATGAGGGTGGGGGGCAAAGCAAAATGCTGTGTGATGTCTGAGGTGAAATATTACTAACCAAGAGTCAGGGAAGGCCATATGAAAGAGATGGGATTTAAGTTTAAAAGAGGAAAGCAGAGAGAGGAGAGGACATTTCAGGTATAGCAAATAGTGAGAGTACAGTATCTCATTTAGCTAGAGCACTGAATGTAAAATAGGCTAAGATAAGGTTGGAAAGATAGAGAAGCACAAAACTATGGTGGGCCTTGAATGCCAGCCAAAGGAATTTAAATTTTAGTCAGTGGGCAATTGATAACCTGAAGATTTCGGAGTAAAAGAATGACATGATGATAGCAGTATGCAGGGGAGGAGGATGGGGAAGAGGTAGGAAGATCTGTTAGGAAACTGTATTTTCCATATGTCAATATTTTTTTAAATTAAAATTAACAGATACCTTTTATTCATTCATTCATTCATATATATGTGTATATATATATATATACATATGTGTGTATATATATATACATATATATGTATATATATGTGTGTATATATATATATACATATATATGTATATATATGTGTGTGTGTGTGTGTGTGTGTATATATTGGCGAGGCAACCAGGGTTAAGTGACTTGCCCAGTGTCACACCTAGTAAGTATCAAGTGTCTGAGACCAAATTTGAACTCAGGTTCTCCTGGGGGCTGGTGTTCTATCTACTGTGCACCTATCTGCCCCTACCCTTTTAGAAATAATGAACTTTCTTAGACTTAATTCAAGTAAATTATAAATTGTCTATAATAATAATTTCTATATCATATGGAATCTAAAGTCAATGATGTACAATCATAATGTTAATATCAAACCAGTGACCAATGTGTTCCTATCTTCCTACATTTGACCTTAAGGTATTTTCAAGTGAAAACTGTGCTTTTAATTTAGGATTATTCAGGTTCAGACGATTCAACTGATGTGTATCTAACCTAGTTCTCTGGGTTATGCTAATTCTGTCCCAACTAAAACTGCCTTAGCAGAATACTGAGAATTAAGCCCTTGTGGCTCTTCAATTTGAAGATTCATGAAATGTTTTTTTTTTAATGCCACACTGAACCATGTTGATAACACAATACAAACCAACAACTCTGACCTTGTCAAATGCTTGCTTGACGCGTGTACCTCCATTTCATTGCTTTTGTATTCATTTAGTTCTTTACGAATTGCTGCCTGGAATTTCAAAACAGGACATTATTTTTTATTAAATAAACTTACAGGTTGAAACACATGAAAAAAAATGAATTAAAAGACACACAACATATAAAACATCCATTGAGAATCCAAAGACATTTTCTTTCAGAATCTAAGTTTCTAGGACAGGAAAGGATTTTAGATCACCTAGACCAACACTCTCATTTTACAGAGGAGGAAATTGAAGCCAAGAATTGGGAAAGACTTGCCCAATGTCACATAACTACTTGGTGGCAGTACCGGAACTAGGTCACAGGCCTTCTGCTTCCTGGCTCAGTACGTTCAAGTCCCTTTTGCTATTTGATCCCATTGTTCATTGTTTCATTCATTTCTTGCCTTGCTCAGGACAGGAGGATGCCTCTAGCAGCCCTAAGACCCTTATCCTGAGGAAAGAACATGACAAGGACCCAGAGGCCCAAAATAGACAGTACCTCTAGGGGGAAGAAAAGGCACAGTAGAGGAATCTGCATGAGAGTCCAATCTTATCTCACATTTAAAGGGTCTTATTTAGTAAGGCTGCTGCAAGAATCTTATTTTGTCTTATTGTTGCTCATATTATTGCTTATTGCTCTTCATAACCCTGAGAAATTCACTTGTGATGGATAATGACTAAAGTTCCTACCAATAATTCCGTTAATGTTCTATATTAAAACATACAGATGTCTTTATATCTACATATACTTATTAATTCAACAATTATGTGCTGAAAGCCTATGTGCAAATGAATAAGATCTAGCCCAGAGTAGGATAGAACAATTAGCTCATTTATTTAAAAGATTATTTATACTTTTGGTTTCTAGCTATTTTAATTAGTGTCACTGCAACTCATGGTCATTAATAAATGAAAATACTAATATATGTCAAACTCAACAGGGAAACAAAAAGAGGAGGAGAAAAGAACTAGAATCTAAGGGGGCACCTTAAATAGCCTCTTAGACATTTGGGGAATGGCTTACGAGTATAATATGGAACATCATCGTGCTCTACGAAATCATGAAAGTGACCATTCCAGAAAATCCTGAGTCGTAAGAATTGATGCTGAGTGAAATGAGTAGAACTAGGAGAGCTATTTATACAAGGATAACATGGTAAAGAAACAACTTTGCAATGATCAACCTGTCTCCAGAGGACTTATGATGAAGCATGTTACATACCATCTGACAGAGAAGTGATGGACATAAGGTGCAGATATATACTTTGTTGGACATGACTGTTGTGTGGATTCATTTTGCTTTATTATGTTTGTTTTTCACAAGGGTTTTTTCTTTCTTTCTCTCAGATAATGTAGGGGTCAGTGAGTAGGAAAGGGTGGCCTAGGAATAATGATACTCCTCAAAAAGGAGGTCAAATGAAACAGTTTTTTAAGTGCACAGAAGGGAACAAAAGGATGTTCATAAGGAAGCACAAGCAAGACAGTTTTGAAAGTAATGTGTAAAATTATATACTTTTTAAGAAGGCAAGTAGTTTAAAATGGAGATTCATGGTTTCATAAAGACTCACTCTTTTTGTGTTCCATTGTATATGTGAAAATTATATTTTCATAGTGTTTAAGTTCAAAATAGAATTTAAAATTAAAAGAGAAAGTGTTCTCAACCTCCAAATTCCAATTCTCAGTTTCTAAATTACATTTCAAATATAATATTGTTCATTATTTTTCACTATCATGGACATTAGAGAAGTTTTCTTCCTTGATTTTGACAATGGTATGCTTTTAGTCTTTGCCATATACTCCTATAGAATATGTACTTTTTATTCTAGTCCATTGTTTAATACCCAGGAGGCCCTACACAGGAGCCAACTTATACAGATTTAAGAGAGCCAATTGTTAAATTTTCAATGTAAGCATTTGTACTTCAGAAATCAGCAAATACTACAAATCAAGGATTGATTTATTGTTTAGTTGATTATCTAGTCTAGACTTAAGGAAGTGATGGAGGAAATGTTAATAATGCATATTACATTTTAAAATGTGCCCTGGGTTTTTGAAGAGCTGGTTATTAAACATTCACCCACATACTCTTGTCCTGTACTCCAACTATAGGGAAGATAGTTTCTACCTCAAAAGGAGCAGGAGAGGGAGGGGCTTCTCCCTTGCAGTTCTCAGAAGAATACATTTTATTTGATAGCAGAAAAGAGGTCATCAGGCTATTCTCTCTCCTCCTCCCCCTTCCAAATGAAAGGCTACTGGTATATAGATTACATGAGTTAAGTAAAAGATTTCCTCTAACCAAGTCCTCTTTTCATGTTTCATCATGGAGTACAGATGGCCCTGGGTTCCCAAAGTCTGTGCCAGTAGAGCACAAATCTTCTCTTACTCTTCTGTGCTGGAAAGGATGTGAGTATCCAGCTGGTGATGATGAGCTGTATATCTAAGATCCAAAAATCCAACAATCTAAACATAGAGATGGCTCCTCTCAGACAGCTGGTCATCAGATAATTCTTCTGTGTATTTTGCAAGAACAATTCATGAGATGGTTTACCATGTCCTAAAGGTACTGATATGTATCAGAAAACAAACAATATTGAAGAAATTGTGGATTTTTTTGAAGTTTTAAAGTCAAAGATTTACAGCATCTTTAACCATAAGGAAGGATAGATAACTGTGGAGTAAAGGTTAGATGACAGTGTATGGGTGGGATTGGAAATGTAACATGAGGAAGATGCATAGAGACATTATGTTAATGTTACAGTGTGGGGAGAAGAACGTTAGGTTTAGAATGAAAGGCATTGGATTAAAATTCTGAATGTTTCTTACTACCTAGGTAACTCTGCACAAGTCATTTAACTTCCTGGGCCTCAGGTTCCTCATCGGTAAAATGGGGCTGGACTAGATCATTTACTACCTTGGTGACTTTAAACAAGTCCATTAACCTAAATGGGCCTTGGTATCCTAGTCTATAAAATGAGAGAGCTGGATTAGAATGGCTTCTGAAGCTTTGCTTTTAGCTCTCAACCTATGATCCCATGAATTCTAAGGTTGTTTTCCAGATCTAAATTGCAGAATCCTATGTTCAGTTTTGACTTATAGATTGCAAGACATTTTCCTACTTATGATCAATTCTGAAATGTTTTTCTGTACCTTATCTGCAGCTGATAATCTTGTCCAAGGCTTGTCTGCTCGTCTGTCATAGTCCTGTGCTTTTGCCACTTCCACATAATCACTGAATCGGATCAAAATTTTTCTGTCTCGTAGTTCATCAACTGTGGGTCTCTGATTCAGCTAAGTAAATAAACAAATTAATAAATTAATAATAAATAAAAGACCAGTTAACTTATTTTTCACAAGCTATTTGAAGCAAGTTTTCTTTACCATGAATATGCTAAAGTTCGTGAAAAATGAAAACAAGAACTTAAAACCAAACAATTTCCCATTTACAAGGTCTAAGGAATGAAAATATCTTTAAAAAGAGAACTTGGGATCACTTCCATGGCAGAATGAAGCCCTCAAGGAGGTTTTCAAAGTTTTGCCAGCAGAATGCAGGTCTTGCCTAGCCCTACCGGCAGCAGCACCTTTGAGGATGAGGCTGGCACTAGAATCTGTGTAACCGCATTACCAGAGGCTCATCTTCAAAATGAAGATGACTTTTCTGAGTTTTGGCAATCCATGAAATAGTTGCCCAAATACCAAATGCCACACACATTTAACTCATAGACATTTTGAATTTATGTCACAGAAAAGACTGCTTCCCAAGGAATAAGTACCACTATGGGAAGAATTTTTTTTTTTGTAATTTCCATGGTCATGAATATAATTGTGCATTTAATATTTATAAGTCCAAAACACATAGAATGATTCATTAATTTCAAGCAGACAAGAATGCTTTATGATTGTGGTACAGTCTGGAGTGGGGTATGCAGCAACACTGAATTTAGCAATTCTATTTCCTTGCAGTTTCAAGATCCAATAGTATACTAGCTTATAGCATGCCACTGTCAATTTTAACATTAGCCACTTTCTGAAACAAGTGGAGTAATGCTTCCCTATTACCCTCTCAAACTTAAAAACACCACCACCAGCAAAACCATGGAGGCCACATGTTTATTTTGTACCTACTTCTATGTGAACATGGGGGTTTTCCTTAGAGAGCATAAGCTCCTTGAGGGTAAGCCATTTCACTTTTGTCTTTCTATCCCCAATGCCTGGCACAGTGCTCTGCAAGTACTTGCCAAATGCCTATTGGTTGAGTGCTGTATTTAGAGTTAGGAAGAGCTAGGTTTGGATATTCTTTCAGATACTTAATAGCTGTATGGCCATAGAGAAGTTAAGCTCTAAGCCTCAGTTTCCTTATTTGAAATAATTGGTGATAAAAATAGTATCCACTTCATAGGATTTTGGTGAGGCTCAAAAACACTTTACCATTCTTAAAATACAATAAAACTGTGAGCTATTTATTATTGTTATTGTCATTGTTAGACATTGTATAACCACAGAAGTTTCTAGACCAATTAAAATGCCATAATAACAGTGAGCTTTGGACTAAAAACCGTAATGTCCCTATAGTTATGGCCTTCTATATTAAAAATAATGTGTGTGTGTGTGTGTCTGTGTGTGTGTGCATGTGTGTGAGTGTTTTAACTTTGCTGTGGGTAGGTTTATGGAGTTCTCAAAGATGAGTCTTGTAGATATTTGACTTCTATTTGGCCCTCTTAGAGAAGTTAACAAGTGAAATTAAAGCATGAGCACACCTACTACTTAGAGGAGCCCCAGCCCCTGGTGGAAAGTAAAGGGTCTTTTCTCTAGATGTGGCCAGTAGGTGCTTAGTGCTCTAAGGAGTAGATTTCCATAGATAGGCACATTCTTTCAATTGAGGTCATACCATACTTTACACTAAGTGTTTCCCCATTAAGATCACAGAGAGATATCCTGAATTAATTAACAACAGGTCAGACATCTCTGTATTCTCTGCTTCATTTAGCTTGGTGCCATATTTTCCTAAAGACATAAAATTGGATAGGTTTTGATTACCTTTCTTGTCAATCGCTGCTTGATTTCTCGTCTTTCTTCCTGCTCTGTCTGATCATTTCTTTCTGTGGAAGATACAAAGAAAGATACAATTTTCTTCATTTCAAAAGAAGTTTTTTCCAGGACAGCCAAACTTTCTGCTGAACATTACTAGAAGTTGGAGTACCACGGGATGTGTATGCTACTGTTCTCTAGTCTTTCTACATGGCTCTTGTCTCTAAGTGTTTTGGACAGTGCCAGAGCCTCTAACAATCCCGGTCCACAGAATTGCTCATTATTGTTGTCAGCTGAACTAGCTTCTTCCTCAACACTTTATAGAACCATAGATTTTTGAAGCTAAAAGGGATCTGAGAAATCATCTAGTCCAATATGTTTTTTTTCAAATGAGGAAACTGAGTCTCAGAGGGAAAGAAAAATGTCTAGGACTTTGCAGTTAGCAAACAGCTAGAAAAAGGAAGGAATGGGCTGTGATAGCAAAAGCACTGGGCTTAGTACAGTAGGTGGCACACTAAATAGAGGGCCCAGCTTGAAGTTAGAAAGACTTATCCTCCTGAGTTCAAATCTGGCCTCCCTGGGAAAGTCACTTAACCCTGTTTGCCTCAGTTTCCTCATCTCAAAAATGAACTGGAGAAGGAAATGGCAAACCACTCCAGTATCTCTGCCAAGAAAACCCCAAATGGGGTCACAAAGAGTCAGACATGACTGAAAAACAATTGAACATGAACATGGCACATAATAGATGCTTAATTATTGATTGACTGGCTGAGTTTGAGTCAGAAGACTCTTGATTTGAATCCTGGGTCTGCTACTTTATATTTATGTGGCCTTAATCAAACCACTTCCCTTTGGTGACTTTCAATTTCCTTATCTATAAAATGATAGGGTTGGGCTTTGGATGATGCATAACATTCTAAAATGCTCTAGTCTATCCTAGGACCCAGGTCTCCTGAGTCCCAGTCGAGACAGTGGGAAGAGTGATGGGTCTGGAATCAAAGGATCTGGGTTCAATTCCCAACTCTGCCACTTACTACTTTTGTGACCTTGAGCAAATTATTTTACCTCTCTAGGATTCACTTTACTTATTTATAAAATTAGGGGTTGGACTGGATGATCTCAAAGATCTCATCAAGTTCTAAATTTATGATCTGTTCCCTCATCCAAATCTGAAAGAGCTACAGAAACTATTATTCTCAAGAAAACCTTGTAAAAGGTACCTATTTTACAATAATTTAACCAGTATCCATTGCTTTTTTTAAAAAGAAAAAAAAGATTTATTCTTAAGCTGGGACTTGAAACTAATAAGGTTTAGAGGAAATGGGCTTTCTTAGAATTTATATTTTCAAGCTGCATTTTAAGTACAAACACACACACATAGACATACACAATTGCTTCCATTACTGAAGCTTTGGCATTTTTGTTGCAGTTGCTTTAAAAAACAAACCAAAAAAAACCCTGAAATCCTAACCTAAGCTGGCTTTGCTTTGAGAGTTGTGACTGGTTAACATTCAAACCATGATCACTCCTGTACACAGAATCTAAAAATAGACTAGAGAGCTGTAATGTGTGTAAAATGTATGCCTTGCCCTGGGATATGAGATAATGGATTTCCTATTTCTGATGCTATTGGTTACTAAATAAAGATCCATGCCCACGACCTGAACATAGCTTGGGACCTAGAAAAAGAGATACGGAACCACCAGCAATTCCATAAATCAGCAGGATTTCCTTTGGCAACACACAGAAATTATTTTCCAAAATAAGCCATGTGGTTTACATGCCTCAGCGTAATCCTCCTTTAAAGATATATCTCTGAATACTGGTTGTTTTGGAATTTCTTTAAAGGAAAACATGAATTTGCTGTCATTAGTTCTTAAGAAACATAATCTCTTTTTTTGTTATTTTTGTTTTCAGTTCCAAATCCCCTTACTCCCTCTGCCCCCTCCCCTACCCATTGAAAAGGCAAGAAATACAATGCCTGTTATGATATTCAAAATACATTTCCACATTAACCATGTTGTTGGGGGGGGGCATGGAATATGCTTGAATTTGCATTCAGAGTTCATCAGATCTCTCTCTGGAGATGGATAGCATTTTTCATCAGAGTCCTCTAGAATTGTTGCATATCATTGCATTGATTAGATACACTGCATAATCCTTGATGAGATTAAGATGATTTTGTGTAATGGATGAAAAAGCAGTTACAACTTTTCAGGTTGCTTGTTGAGAAACTAAGGTTAAAATTAGGACATTGTAAAACCCTACTCTGAAACTTACAGAGGTTTTAGCGATACTGTAACAAAATGAATCTTTTGCTACTGCGGAGCACTAAGTGTGCTTCACGGACAGGTCTAACATTACCTGAGAGGAGTCAAGTGAAATCCGATTCATTTGATCTTCACAGGCCAGGTCATTGCTCACATAACATGAATACAAGCTTCCAATTATGAATTTTTTTGAAGGAACTCTATAGTGGAGCTTTTCCCTGCTGGCATTAGTTTAAAAAGGAAGCTTTGGCAGAATTAATTTTTCCCTGCCCTGTTATCTTCCTTGATATTTTATTAATACACTATTGGTTCCAAGAGAGTGTATTAAGCAATCCAAGGAAGGGCCTTTTGTCAGTCTCTGTGTTTGCACTTACCTCACACACAGGTAAGAGTTGGGACATAAGCCCACCTGATGGGCTGATATTAATAGAAAAACTGGCAGACTTGCAATATGGGAATCCAGGTTAGAATTTCAGTCCTAACATTTGTTTATTTTGTGACTGAAAGCAATCCATTTCACCACTGTGCCTCAGTTTCCTTATCTGCAAAAAGGAAATAATCCTTGTGCTATCCCATTGTGCTGTTGTAAGGAAATCACTTAGTAAACCTTAGAGTACTACAAAAATGGAAGGCATTATTAGCATCTGTCCCCTGCACAAGGAGGGGATCAAACTGATAGAAACTGCTACAAAAAGCATCTATCTATATGCCAGAAAATGGAATGTGGCAAGAACCGTCCTCTGGAGAGTCTACCTGATGCATCAGGAAAGAAAATACTTCCCATCAGGGCTAATGCCATATATGGTATCTCATCTCACACCCACACAAAGGGAGGAAAAAAGAAAAATCTCTAGTAGTGAAATTCACAGTAACTCCTACTCTTGGCTCTTCAGAATGCTTCAGGGCTAAGCACTGGTCTGTGTGAAGACAACGGAGAGAAGTCTCTATCTGTGGCTAGATTTCCATGGTCACAGAAGAGGAAATTCATTATTTTACTATTTCTTTGAACAAGGAGTTCATATGAATATGCAGTTCCTATGAATACTGTGTGAATGCAGTTCCTATGAATACTGCCTGGCACTGTGGCTATATTTAAGACTAGCATTTACAAGAACACAATTATAAGCACTGTGCTTTTTAAAAAAGTACTAACTCCACTACCCATGGTAGTGAGGAAGATGTTACAACTGCACAATGGAAATGTGCTTCTTGGGCTGAGGACCCTGGATTACGTCAACTCTATTCCCCGTGTAAGCCATTAACCTCTTGGACCTGTGTGTATAAGGAGTTTTAAGGATAAGTGTGCTTATTAGAGAGATGAATCAAACCTCTAACAAATGATATAACTGACATAGTTCCCATTCTCTGCCTATTTAGCTTAAGCAATGTCATGAATGTAGAATTTTTTCATCCTGACAGCTAGTCTAGTTAACATAAGGGGAGGCAGAATCCTTAGAGCTTTCTTCACACCACTCTGACAACCCTTTTTCAGCTCTAACATTCTGTAGCTTCCAAATTTTTTAAGTTACCATAAGCATCAAAATGTTCAATTCTTAAATGCTACATATGAATAATAAGAAAAGGAATCATCAAGGGATCCAAAAAAATCATCAAGAGATCCAAGTTTTGAGGAATGAATCATGAGCAGGTCACCAAGACTCTCCTTGGTCAGCTTGTTAATGGAAATGTTGAACATCAGGTCTACCCCAAGGAAAGACCATCTAGGCAACAAAACATGAACTTTAGAGAATGTCCTCAGTGTAATTCACACAAAAGAGGAAATAATATGCTTGTAAAATTCAGGCTCTGAGGACCTCTCTTTTTGTAGAAAATGACTTCTTCAGGCTTATATGAGAGAAAAACAAACTCCATTGCCTAGACAATTACATAGAAAATTGTCTGGTTAAAATAAGCACTTGAGGAGATTTTTATTATCAGACAAAATCAGTGGACTCTAAAGGGATCTGACCTGGTTTTGAGCTATGAATTTGAGGGACAAAAAAAATATCCCTACTCATGTCTCCTTTATTCATTCACATTCTACATAACCATCTGGGCATAATCAGATAGGTGTTTGGATAACTGTAGAGAAGTTCTTGGAAAACACAAAGCCTTGGGAAACAATAAATATTATAACTCATTTTTCCCATTCCTTGAGCTCCATGACTTGTTACCTACAGTTCTAGTGAGTGCAAGTGTTCCCCTCCTTCTCTGATCTGCAATACTTATTTATACTCCACTCATCCCCATCTGAAATTTCTATGGACCTTAGGAAATTCAGAAAGTCCTGGTTACTTGCTGAGAAAATTGCTTTTAAAATTATTGCTCTGCAAGCCAATCCAATGTTGGTCTTTCTACTCTTCTGGGAAGATTCACTAACTCTTCTAAAGTACAGCTGCTATGAAAAACTCCAAGAATAGTAAAAATACTTCCTTTCCCTTGATGGACTTTAAAAGGGCTTTCCACATTTTCTTCCCAAATGATTTCACACAAACACCTAAGCTACTCGCACCATACTAGAAATACTAAGTAACATACATACTGGTAGAATATTCATCTCTCAAAGGAAGTAAACTAGAATTTCTGCCTAACTGCACAGAAAAGTCTAATAAGATTGATTCAGTAGTCTTAATATACACACATACATACACATATACACACATATATGCAAGGTCTCTCTGGAGGAATCAACAGCTACTCACGTTTCAGGATATTTCTTCTTTCTAGTTCCTCCACAGCAGGTCTTTGGCTCAGTCGTCTGCGGAAAAACACCAAAATTATGTTTTGTACCATAGTGGCTGCCTGAGATATCCACACAGGATTTGTGGTAGGAAAGTGTCTCTCTTGCCTCCAAAAATTGCCTTCCAGAAAGCAGGAGGAGGATAATAAATAAATAAACTGTATCTTTGGTGGTTCTTCCTTGGCTAAATCTAGACAAACTTCTCTCTGCACCTCAGGAAAGTCTGGTGGTTTAGAAGGCTAGCATTTTAGTCCTTTCAGAAAATTTATAAATGTTCTTCATCTTCATCTTCAGATTCTACTGGCCCAAAGCATAACCTATCAACACCCACCTCATTCAGTAACAAAACACTACAGCAAGTAGTAGATACATTCAAGAAGTCTTTCAGTTGAACAACAATTAACTCCACAATGATAGCAAGCCTTAGTCCTGCTTGCTTGCTTTTTTTCCCCTTAGAGTCACCACTGATATGTTCCAACAGAAGATAATCTGGTTAGGAGGAAAACCTGTAAGAGATCTCCTCACTGCTGACTGACAGCTCAATCTCTCCACCGTACTACCGCCTGCTAGTGAAAATCCTGCACTGCTTACAACCTCATGCAGAGGGGTGTGTCTAATGTAGCCTCACATCCACTTGCCAGCCTTCCCTCGTGCAGCCTGGAGACTAAGTCTCAAAATCAGACGATCAGGGCCAGGATGCTTTCATCCTGAATAACAAATGAGACTTCCCCCAGATAATATTGCTAGTAGGAGCCAACCATATAATATTCACCCACCCCCACACATATTCACTAGCTGTTTTAGGAAAAGCATCCAAGACCCAGAGATGGAGTGTTTATGTCAGTTGCAGGAAGACTGGCAATATTAAGACACTTTATTGTTGTCTTTATAACTCATTTTTCATTGCTGGAGTCAGAGGGAGTAGCAGAAAATAAAAGACTTGTCAGTAGGGGAATAATTACTCAAAATTAATGCTAAGCTGAAGATCCTCTTATTGTCACCAAAATAAAGCTGGCACGGGGTCAGAACAGCAAAGCAGCCCATTTCTGCCATCCGCTCAACATTATGGATACAATAAATGGGTGGTGGAATCTGGGTTCCCACCAGAGACTTGTACAGATGATGACGATGCTGCCTCCAGAAATATTTAGCTTCTATAGCATCCCCATCTCAGAACAAAGCAGAGAATCATCCCTTAGAATGCTGCAGTACCTCCCCGCATACTGGAACATTCAGATGTGCTGGAGATATTTCTCCCTCCTCCCTCTCCCTCTCCTTTTCCTTCTCTCTCTTTCTCTCTCCTCTTCCTTCCTCCCCCCTTCTTTGCCCTCTGCATTTATTTCATGTCTACACTATGGGAGGCTTCTGCAACTTCCCTACTTCCTCTATATGATAATCATTAAACCCTGGACACCCCTTCCCGCCTCCAAAAATTCACTGGCTATGATTTGGTGGGAAAGGCCATACATAGTTCACAAGCTGAACAGGAAAAACTCTGGCTTAGTGAGGGCTTGTCTCCAAAGAATCCAGGGTTTCTTACACCTGCATTCTCTTCTGTGTGGTCAGAACTGTCCAAATCCCAAACCTCCCTTTCCAGTTGCATCAGATTTTTTATTTTAAAGGAATTTCAAGTAGGATGAAGACACTGGATGAAGGAGGATTGTGGTGTGGGGGAAAGAGCCATAGATTTGGAATCAGGAAACCTGGATTCAAATCCTGGTTCTGTGCTTACTGTTTGTGTGACTTTGAGCAAGTCCCTTGAATCTAGACCAGTCTATTTTCCTCATCTGTAAAATTACAAGGTTGGACTAATCTCTAATACTTCTTTCAGGTCTAAATCCTAAGATTCTCTTTAAGAACCCAGCCAAAGCCCTGGGGATGCATTGAAATATTCATAGCTTAGAATGCCCACATGTGGCATGAAAGGATGAAATTCTACAAGCTCTCTCATTTGTAATTACTATGGCTATTTGAAATATACCCAGAAGGATTTGGGGTGCCGAGAAAGAAGAGGGGAACAGCAGTTTTAGGGGAGAAAGATAAGAATTGTCTGATCTGAAATCCTTGTGTATACCATTATAAGTATTTGCTCACTGAATCTTCTCAGGGAAGTAAGTTAAGCTGAACAATAAGACCTCATATGTGAATAGTGCTTTAGAGTTTTCAAACCTCTTTGCCCATGAGGGACCCCTTGGGAGAAGTTAATGTAAAGTAATACTATCCTCATTTCATACATGACAAACCTAAGGATCAGAAATTCACACACACACACACACACACACACACACACACACACACAGGCTTGTCCAAGCTCACAAAACTAAGTAAGGTTCTCACTTCAGATCCTATGCCCTTTCCCTAATGTCAGCTAACAACTAATGGGTATTGATATCTACAGCATAGACTAGTCAACAAATTCATTCACACCATGATCTGCTTCCTCTTCCTACAACTGATAAGTTCTCCCTTTAACCTTCATTTGAGGAAGCACCTGGGCCTGCTATCCCAACTTGCTTGTTTGTATTCCCAGTGCTTAAAACAGCACCTGACACATATTAAGTACTTAATAAATGCTCCCCCTCCTTTTCTGTCTCTGTCTCTTTGTCTGTCTGTCTCTCTCTCCTTAGTGACAAAGCTAATTATTTTTTACATTTTAAGTCAAATGCCCTGCCTTCATTTTCTTGTAATAGTTGCTCAAAAAAAAAAAAAAATAGAATACCCACACCATCTATATGGGGATAAATTGTTAAACATGCCCACAAATCACAAAATCTATAAATACCATGTATTACATTCACTTTCAAGCAGGAATGACAAGGGCTTAAAACTCTTAAAACTCTGAAACCCAAGCTATAGAGACATCTAGGGCTCCTATGGAAGAGCACACTCTCCAAGATATAGCTACTCAATTGTACTTTTTTTTCCTCTTCCTCCTCTTCCTCCTTACCTTCTGACATTCTTACCTCCTTCTAAAATGTGTACACATGTAAGTCTTTCTGGGAAGGGGACCAGAGGTGGGTAGGATGGAAGGCCTTTGTAGCTGTAACCCAACTCAATTATAGAAAGTTTTGGCACCCTGAGAGAATTCTTCTGAGAGGGGAGGCCCAGAGCCAGAGGCTGGGATGGAGGATATCTGCTCCAGAGGTGGTCAGGTCATTGCTGCCATAAGCAAAAGAGTCTCTTTGGGCAGTGTCTATTCTTCAGGACACAGTATGGGGTGGATGGGTGGGAAACCAGAAAAAAATCGCCAAATCTGCAGCCTGAGATCTCACTGCACCCACCCAACAGGGAAGACCTAAAACAAAAACAATAAACACCACACAATTAAGCAATGTCAGTAGAAAAGGAGAAAATGCATTGGACTATAGAGGTGGCCACAGGAGAAATACCAGAGTCTCAAAGCACCAACAGCTGATTTCTCCAAGCCATGAAAGAGCTGAAAACAGTTACAAATTGAGACTATGCTGGACATTTGTGAGTAGGTGCTTTATGAGAACAACAAAAGAGAACATTTTAGCCTAACCCTAGTCGAAGGGAAGCTGGAGGGGCAGGGATTTCTTTATTTGGACACAATGTTATTTCCTGAAATCTTCTCCCCCCAGGAGGGAAAATCTGTGTCAGAATGACAAATCAAACCAAATAAACCAATAAAGAGACCAGGTGGGAAATAAATGTTTCAGATCCTAGAACCACCATTTCATTCTGGGTTCTCTGCAGATTCCCCCAACCTGGAGCTTCCATCTAATAGATTTGGGGAGAAGGACTGGAGGGGCACATTGTAGAAAGTGAACTGGTCTGGGAGTCGATAGACTTTGGATCTATTCCTGGCTCTGCTAGATTGTTGTGTGACTTTACAAATGTCTTTTGATGTCTCTAAAACAAAATTAGACGGTCTTTAAGGTCTCTTTCAGCTCTAAAATTCTGTCATGTTCTGCCCCAACCTTTCCTTCTCACACTAACCCCCCAGATCAGAATATACAGCCCATCCCTACCCCATTCCTCCGAGATAAAACCACTGAATTTAGAGTCATAAATTCTGGAATCCAGTCCCAGAGCTGCTACAAGCTACCTTTATGACTATGGACAAGTCATCTCCTGGCTGGCCTCAGTATTCTAATCTATAAAATGAGGGGATTAGACTAAATGAGCTCTAAGCTCCAAAGCCTAAAAATGCTCATATAGAGCATTTCTGCAATGAGATCGCCAGCTAATGCCTCATTCATACAATTCTAAACTAGGGTGCTCTGCATCTCTGGAACCAAGGGTTTATGCCTTTTTTATAGCTTCTGGACATTTACTATACTGTTAACATACTGAATACCCCCTGAAGGAATTTCATATCTCTAGCAGTGACTTTATAAAAATGTTTGTAAATATCCTTATTGTAGACAGCCCTTGGGACAGACACATGTCCCAATCATTCTTTAAAGTTATCTTGATTCTCCTCCTACCACCCAGATGCAATTATTGAGCTATCTGATGCCCAAATTAATTAATATTAACAACTCCATGCTGGAAAAGGCTCTTGGGATGAGGAAGGACCTCTTAACCACACAGACCAACTCTAATATTAACAGCAGATTGTCAGCCTGCATAGTATAGAATTTGTAAGTTCCAACTGGCCCAGCAAATGCTTTCTTGGCATTGCTACAAACTTGGAACTAGTACTGGGCATGGTTTGGCCCAGTAGAATGGAAGCTCCTGGTTTTCATTTTGTCTTTGTATTTTATTAGTGTAGGTAACTAATTCTAGGTGAGGAAACTTCCATTTAGCAATTGCAGAATATCAAATGTTCTTCAGTTTGCAAAATTTGAGGATTTTCTGGAGACCAGAAAGGTTTGCCCAGGGTCACACAACCTCTATGCATCAAAGGCAGGACTTGAATGCAGATCTTCCTAACACCAAGTTAGATCCCCTATCCATCCCACCATATTGCCTAGCATGCAGTGGTCATTTAATAAAGGTTTGTGCGATTGGATTGGTCTCAGAGATCACAGTTTTCTATTTCAGTTTTTTAA